ATGGGCTACCGAAAGGAGCAAAGTCTCAGTCCTTGCAGAAGGAAGTCATCGGGAAATTTCAAAATCTGAAAAAACAAAACCTCCAGAAACTTCAATGCTGCTTAGAAAGGAGAAGCTGACGGATCCCCAGGGAGGATGTGCCCGTGAGGGGAGCCGGGGAGTCAGGGTGGGCTGTGGCTCTGACCAGAGGACGTAAATGACACCGAAGGACCGAAAACACCGGTGCCGCCCCCGCCCCGCTGTCCCACAGTCACAGAGGCTGAGGTGCCGGCTCGGGAGGAGCCTGGACTCGGGGTCTCTCCTCCTCCTCCTTCCAGCTCGTAGGGGTCCCCAGGAACATGACAGGGGAGGGGAAGAGGGGCCGTGCCTTGGTGCTGCCTTGGCTCTGCCCTCGCTGCCCTTGGGAGGGAGCAGGAGGCAGATGGGCTGAGCTGCTCCCCCCCCACCAGACCGGGGGGGGGCCTCACCTGACACCCGCCTAATTATCCTGCGAGCGAGTCATTCATCTGCAGCTCAGCCCAATGTAGCCACCTTGTGCTTTGCCTTTAATGAATAATTTGGCTAAAATAAAAATGGTGCAAAGCCAGGCCGGGGCAGGGAGAGGGCTGCAGCGCGCTCGCAGCCTGGCGAGCCCAGCAAGCGCCAGTCCTCCGGAGCCTGGAGCCCACGGGCAGCGGCCAGGCGTCGGCAGCCTGGCGTGGCCTGGGGGACAGGGTGGCCCAGCCTGGGGTGGTGGTGTGGACGGTAACCCTACTATCTATCCCACGATGGTGAAGAGGCGAGGAGACCAGGCCGGCTCACAGCGGCCCGCGGGGACACAGCCGCTGCACAGGTCCTTCGGGGACTCTCCCGACCAGAGCACGTGAGGGGGGCGCGCGCAGCCACCGGGGACGTGGCGGGGGAGCTCCTGAGGCCTGGAGGAGACCCATGGCTCCAGTGACAGGGACGTGGCCGGGCAGGGGTTTGGGCTTCTCCCCAGAGCTGGCCTTGGTCCCGCGCTAAAGAGCCACTGCTGGGGCTCCACCGTTCCCAAAGGCCGCAGGACAGGGCCCGGGGACCGACCGGGGTCTGGAAGCAAGCCAGAGGCAGGCCCCGGCCTTTGCCAGCCCCTGGCGGGAAGGCAGGCCCGCCCGGAAGGGGTGCAGAGGCTGCAGGTGGAGAGGAAAAGTTCTTTGGATAGGACTTCAATTATTCAGAGCTTCAAGAATATTCTTAGCTCCAGGGAGCCGTGGTCTGCTGATGGACACGGCTGGGGCCCTATTTTTAAAGTTCTGTGGCAAGGCGTGGATGCTACCGCACTTTGGGCCTCCAGAGGCCCCCCCAGGCTCCTGGGGGCCTGTGTCTGGCGCGTGTACCCGTGGCCCCCCCAGGCCCTGTGCCCACGCCTCCCCCGCCAGGTGAGGAGGCAGCCCGGCGGTCCTGGGCTGTGTCACGCCAGTGCCCCGGTCAGGCCAGGGGCTCCGTGCGCGCTCGCTGCGCCATGGGGCGCTGGGGCCCACAGCCTGCACCCCACCAAACCCAGACTTTTCCAGAGCCCCCCGAGGGGTCTGCGGCCCCTGTGCTGCCTCTCTGTGCCCCTGGGGCCCCACCCGCAGCAGGCGTCCTCTCAGAGGGCCTGGTGAGCCTGCTGGCCCGGGGTAGTGGGGAGTCTGCATGGGGTCAGCCAAGAAGGGAAGGCTGGGTGGACACGGCTCACTGCCCGCCACTTCTGGCAGAGGACACGGTGGGAAGCTGAAGCCTCAGGTCACTGTGGAACCTTCCCAAGAGCCACTCTACAACCAAGACCGAGGCGCCCGAAGCATGGCCAAGAGTGAGTGTGGCCAGCTCACGGCTGGCCTAGCTACTCAGGAAGGCTGGGATCTGAGGATCTTGGTTCAAAGCCAGCCTGGGCAGGAACAACTGTGAGACTCATTGCTCCAACGAACCACTCAGAAAAGCGGAAGTGGTGCCCTGACTCAAGTGGTAGAGCGCTCGCCTTGTGCTGAAGAGCTGAGGGACAGCGCCCAGGCCCAGAGTTCAAGGCCCCACAACCACCACCACCACCAACAGTAACAATAAAAGTGAAGCTGGGTGCGGCACGGGGACTGAACCCAGCGCTAGCGAAGTGCGTGGCCTCTCAGCCACGTGCCCTCCCTTTTTGTGCTCGTACTAGGGCTTGAACTCAGGGCCTCAAGCTCTTGCTGGGCTTTTTTGTTCTAGACTGGTGTTCTACAGCTTGAACCACACCTCTGTTTCCAGCCTTTTGTTGGCTAATTAAGAGGCAAGCCTCCTAGACTTGTCTGTGCAGGCTGGCTTCACGCCTGGATCCCCAGGTCTCGGCTTCCTGAGTATGAGGATTGCGGTGCGAGCCACGGGTTTTGTTTGCATTTTGTCCAAGGCCTTGTCTGGCCTGGAGCTCCCCCCTCCAGCCTCTACCACCAGGCAGCTGTGATTTGTGCCTGTGATGCCTCACCTGGCCTCAAAGTGGAGATGTTTCTAAGGACCTCAGGACACAGAAAGCAGCAACAACACGTGTGCCGACAGAGCAGATGCTGCCAGACACCAACTCCACACACACAGCACACCGCACGCACCAGGAACCTGTGCTGCTCTACAGCAGATAAAGAAACCCTTTTTTTTTTTTAATTCTTTGTCAGTCGTGGGGCCTGAACTCTGGGCCTGGGCGCTGTCCCTCAGCGCTTCAGCTCAAGGCGAGCGCTCCACCACTTGAGCCACAGGGCCACTTTCTGGGTGGTGTACTGGAGATGAGTCTCATGGATTTTCCTGCTTGGGCTGGCTTTCAACCGAGGTCCTTGGCCTCCTGAGTGGCTGGGATCATAGGTGTGAGCCTCCAGTGCCTGGCTAGGAAACCCATTGTTAAAAGATGGGAGGACTTGAAGTTTCTACTGAGAAGAAACACAAAAGGCCAGCGAGCAGAGAGGCGACGGACATCACTAGTCACTGGTGAGATGCAAACGAATGGCAGTGAGCGCGCTCTCCACCCACGAGGGTGTGCGGTCCACAGCCACGAGCGTGGTGGCGTGCAGCTCCTCACGGACACACAGGAGCTGCAGCTCCTTCCCTACGTGTGCACCCTCGGAGATGGAGGCCTCGTGCGTTGTGGAGAGCTGCGGGAGCCGCGACCAAAGGCGGCTGCAAAAGCAAAAATGGCAGGGCCGCGTGGTGCGGCTGCAACCTAAGATGGCGCGGGCTTCCGCCTTCCGTCTTCCTCGTGACGAGTGCTCTCTGTAAAAAACAACTCCTTATATGGCTATGACCTGGCTCCTAGTTTGCTTCCGTGTTTGCAACCCTATCAGTATATGCCACATGGCGCTTCAGGATTGGCCATCCAGGAGGCTTATAACCGGAGCGCGGGGGCGGATGGGAAGGAGAAGCAGGAAGAAGAAGGAAGAAGCGGGCAGGAGAGAAGTAGGAGAAAAGAAGCTGTAAACAAGGTCCTGAATAAACCGTCTGAAAGAAGGATCTGTTGTCGCGTCATCCTTGCGGGTCGAGGCGGTCGTGACAGTGCGTTCACGTGTGGAGCACACAGCCTTCGGACAAACAGTCCAGACACACGGCGACTTACAGCTGCACGCAATGCAGACGTCCGCGGCAGCGCATCCGTCAGTCTGGAAAAGGACGGATGTGCTGTGCCAGGCGGACCACCAACACCCCAAGGCAGTGTGGATGCGGAGGTGGCCAGACGCCTTGGGCTGGGCAGCACAGGGAGAGCTGGTTGGTGGTGGTCAGACGCGGGGGGACAGGGGGGCTGGGGGGCAGGGGGGACATCCCACAGCTAGGGTGGCCGTGGCTCCTGAGGATGTGCGTTCTCTTCAGGGCTTGTGCCGCCCAGCGGGCCCGCCACTCCCAGGCTCACGTGGTCCTGGGGTCTCAGCCTCCTGAGCGGAGCCACTGCACACAGCCAGACGGAGAGTGAGCTGCACACTCCAGTGTGAGTGAATGCAGGAAGTTTATCTTGAAACCAGCCCAGGGAAACCCACGTGGAAGCTGTCTGCAGGCTGACCTGCTCTGGCGGAGACCCCACCCGAGGACCGCGTCCCGCAGGGTCTGCACGCCAGCCCACCCCAGTCCTGGCCGGCCTCTGGCCGGGCCGTGGCGGGACGCTGGCTTGCCGGCTTTCGGGGAACACGAGGGGAGCGGGGCTTGTGTGGGCAGAGGCAGGGCCTAGCAGGCCACTGGAAGGGATTTCACCTCCTGGGAGCCCCACAGTCCAGCACGCCCTGACACTGCAGGGGGACAGAAACCACAGCAGCGGGGCCCCCAGCCATGGCCCCGTGCGCTGTCCCAGGTACGCCGTGGGAGGGGTGTGTCTGGGCAGGCTCCTTTACCTCCAGGGGCTGTGTCCAGGCCCAGCCTAGGACTGGACCCCAGGACCCTTGCTTCACTGGCTGGCATCCGAGTGCACAGGGATGCTTGTCTCACATGCACCCCGAATCCCGGTGAGACCCCAGGCTCCAAGCGGGAGCCCTTCTCCCCGTCACGGACTGGGCAAGACTGCGCCCAGGGGGTCCTGTCACCCACCACCAACCGGCCACCAACTGCTGGGGGACCCGGCCATTCTGCACGTCCAGACAGCAGCAGGGGCAGGGAGGGCAGGGCCTGGGGCTCAGCAGGAGCCGTGGCTGCCGGCACGTGGACGTTTCCATCCCTGCCCCTCCATCCTGACCAGAAGTGGGCCCTCACCGGTCAGCCCCACGCCAGGGAGGCTGGGGTCTGGGCGGGGGAGTGAGGGGTGAGGGGCTGAGGCCTCTGCAGGGGCGCACCTAGGAGCCCAGCCCCTCCGCTGGCCCTGGAGGGGGGAAGGCACCGGGCTGAGGTCAGCTGTGTGTGTGCGCGGGGGGGGGGGGGGGGCTTCCAGCCCAGCCCAGCCCCTCCGCTGCCTGGCAAGGCCATCCAAAGCCAGCAGTCCGGGGCAGAGCCCTTCCAGCCGCTGCCGTGGCCGGCTAGGGCTATGGCTGGGGCCACGACTGGTCAGCTGCGCGGCGCCAGCCGGGGCTCCGTCAGTGGGATGTCCTGTGTTCCTCCTGTGGCTGGGCGGGGTCACCCTCGCCGTCCCCAGGGACCGGCTCCTCGGCGCAGCCCCCGCCCTGAGGCAGCTCCAGCGGCTCATGCTGCGCAGCTCCCCCAGCCCGCCGGTCCCCGTCCTGCTCCTGGGGGACTGGTGGTGGGGCCTCGGACTCGGGGCCCGGCCCCCGGCAGCTGCCCTCGCCCCGGCCTCCTTTGGGACGTGCTTCTGGCCTCTGCACCTTCTGGGACCTGGCAAAGACATTGAGAGATGTGGCATGAGATGCCAGGGCAGCCCAGATCCCTGCGTGCCTCAGTGGTCCCAGGAAAGCCTGTGACGGATCTGGCTGGGCGTGGGGTCCACCCCGCATGCGGGCCGCCAGCCCCAACTCTGTGGTGCGGGGTACCAGCTGCCTGGGGCCCGGGCGCTCCCTGCAGCTTGGTCAAGCTGGGGACAAAGGTCAGGGAAGAGCAACACAGGTCGGAGCAACCTGCTAGCCTGCGAGGGGGGGAGCAGGTGCGGTGAGAGCAGGCGGGGCTCGGCAGGGGCCATGTGGCATGCCTGTGCCAGGCAGGCAGTCTGCTGTGTCACAGTGAGCGCAGGAGGTCTGCGCCCCCCCCCCCCCAGGGGAGACGGCAGCTCCGAGCGCACGTGGCAGGCAGGGTGTCCAGGGTGAGCTTGGTCGGCTCCCCAGGCCTCAGGAAAGGCTGGGCAGCCCTGCGGGAGGTCAGCTTGAAGCCAGTGGGCGGAGGGGGTGGGAATCGGGGAGTTCACAGGAGGCTGGGAGTCCACCCCCTCCAGGCCGACCCCTAGTCCTGAGCCACACGCCTGCAGCAGGGAGAGGCCAGGCCACCGTGATGGCTCCTGGCGCCTCGCGGGGGGCTCACCTCTCTCGGCCCGGTGCGGGCGGCCCTGGGGGTGCGAGGGTCCTGCGGATGTGCTCTCGAGATCGGAGGTCAGCCTGGAAGACACAGACGGCTCAAAGAGAAGCGGAGCTGGGTCTGGGCTGCCCCCAACACACCTGCCCACCCAGAAGCTTTTCACAGGAGCCCACTCAGGGCCCAGCAATGGGAGCAGCAGCCCCACTGCTGTGTGGGTGCCCGGGGGGGCAGGGGCAATGGCGGGGCCTGAGTGGTTGGCAGGAGGCAGGCTGAGCGGGGCTCCGGGCTCCTCCCTGGAATCTCTCAGGCCAGCTGGTCTGTGCCCACGCTGGGGTTATGCCGTCTCACCCCTGGTGTCTGCTGTGATCCCTGCCCATCTCTAGAGGCCCGGGGCCCGGGGGCGGGGGAGGTCAGGCGTAAGCAGGATTCTGACTGGTGATCCTGGCCTCAGGAAGCCTCTGACCCCAGCCCAGATGGGCTTAGCCTGGAGGCATGTGACACACGGATAACAGCTCGTCTCCTGCTCAGCTAATGGACAGGTGGCACATGTGCGCACGGCAATGGGAAGTCCTGCCAGCCAGCAGCCCAGCCTGGCAGGGGATCCTGGACCTGGCACCAGGTCTAGGGCCCCGTGGGGTCTGGGGCTGTGCCAGGGCGGGCACTTTTGGAGCAGGTGGCATGCATCCTGCAGCCACGGGCCTTTCTCGGCATGTGTCTCCATTTGGCAGGCTTTCCTGTGGTGCCAGGCCTGCAACCCCACCCTGTATCTAGAGGTTCAAGGTTATTACAGAAGGCTGACCCCTCATCTGCTAGGGCAGGGCGTAGCTAGAGGCAGTGGCCGGCAGAGGCCTGCCCAGCAGGTCTGGGACAGTGCAGCCGGGTGCTGGGATCTCTGGGGCTTTCGTCAGGCTCCCGCTATGGGGTGGAGGAGGGAAGGAAGGGGAGAGGACTGTTCCTGAGGGACACCTACAACCAACGCAGACGCCACCTTCCAGCCGGGGCTGCGGCGGCGTGCAGGCTGTTGCTGCCCTCTGGAGGCCGCACCTGCAGCTGCAGCCAGGAAGGCCCCAGGCACCCAGGGCTAACCTGGGGCTGACGCTGGCAGAGCTGGGGCAAGGCCGCCTCCACGGTGTCCACAACTGTGGCAGGCCAGGCAAACCCAGCATTTCTTTACTGACTCGCAGCTTTGGTAGTCGAGGCCCTGCCGGTAAGGCTTGAAATTTGATGCGGCTCAAGGCCAGCAAGCTCTGGCCTGCTTGGCACCTCCCTGAACCGTTTTTGAGCACATCTAACACCTTCCTGCCTCAGGGTCTTTGCAGATGCTATTCCTGCAGTGGACTGCCCTACTCTCTCCCTTCTCTAGTGGACCTCCTCCTAAGGGTGGTCTCTCCTGGGTCCTCTCTCTACCCACGGGCTTGGCTGAGGTGCCAGCTTGTGACTGCTCACCACGGCCAGCACGTGAGCGTGGCTCAGCAGTGCCGATCCTGAGCTCTAGCCCCAGATGCCTGGCACAGCCGTACCCCAGGGTCCTGACGGGTGCCCCTGGTCCAGCCCAAGTCTTGTCTAGCATGAGCCCTGCTGAGGTGACTGTCCCCCGAGGGCTGATTGGAGGATGGGGCTTGAGGCCTGAGCCCACACTGCTGGGGCTTTGAGCAGCAGTGTTGGAAGGCTGAAGCGGATGCGGGGCTTGGGTGTGGTGCCGTGGCCGGGCCTTGCCAGTGCACTCCTACCACTGCTGTCCCAGCTAAGGGTGGCGCGTGTGCCACCGCCACCAAGGCCCGGCCCGGAGTGCCTACCTGGCGCACTGGCTCGGGGACCCGGAACCTGCAGCAGTGGCAGGTCAGGCGCACGGCTGTCTCCAGGCTGGTCTTGTGGCCCACAGAGACGTAGAGTGGCTTGGAGCTGCGGTCATGGCTCCTCAGGGCCTGTGGGTGGGGAGTGGGCAGAGCGCAGCATGGACACTTCCCTGTGTGGCAGGGCGAGCCTTGGGGGCTTCAGGCTGGGACAGAGTCCTGGGGCGGGGCGGCATGGGGGGGCTGGGTACTCTGCAGGTCAGATAAGGGTAACTCAGCCAGGGAAAGCCGCACACATCCCCTGCCGGGCTGGGTCAGAGAGTCAGGGTGTGAGCTAGGCCTGTGCACCTGTGCGGTGGGAGCCGGGTGTGTCTGAGGAGTGTGAACTGTGCGGGTGGGAGCCGGGTGTGTCTGAGGAGTGTGAATTGTGCGGGTGGGAGCCGGGTGTGTCTGAGGAGTGTGAACTGTGCGGGTGGGAGCCGGGTGTGTCTGATAAAGCTCTTTGACCTGGAAGCAGTTTAGGGCAGAGGCATGTCACTCACCACTCCCAGGACAACCCCAGAATCTCCTGTCAGAGGAAACTTATCCCCCGCAGCCCGCAGAGCTTGAATCTAGGAGATGGGGAAAAATACTTGTAAAATCATTTTTTCTCTTTTTGTCAGTCGTGGGCTTGAACTCTGGGCGCTCTACCACTTGAGCCACAGCGCCACTTCCAGCTTTTTCTGCCTAGGGGGTGCTCAGGAATCGAACCCAGGGCCACATGCATGCAAGGCAAGCGCTCTGCCACTGAGCCACCTTCCCAGCCCCTTAAATCATTTGTCTTGGTGAAGCGCTGAAGGCAAGTCTCTCAAAATGTAAACAGGACACATTGTTAAACAAACTATACAACTTGTGGGTGGGGATGGAAGGGCAACACCAGGGGCCAGTGAGGAAGGAGCAACACTATCTAAACCAGGAGCCAGAGGCTCACTTGTCATCCTAGCTGTTCAGGAGGCTGAGCTCTAACTGCAGTTCAAAGCCAGCCCAGGCAGGGAAGTCCATGAGACATCTCCCATAAATGACTCAAAAAGCCGGGAGTGACACTGTGGCTCAAGTGGTATAGCACTAGCTTTGAGCAAAAGCAGCTCAAGGACAGTGCCCAGGCCTAGAGTTCAGGCCCTAGGACCAGAAAAAAGGAAGTACTGTTTACCTGACTTATATAACTCTACCCACTCTTTATATCATCTTTATAATAACAATAAAAAATTAAAAGCCCCACTAAGTAGTAGGGCTGGGTGCAGGGGTACAGGCCTGTCGATCCCAGCTGCCAGAAGGCAGATGCTCACTGTCCAAGGCCAGCCCTGGGCAAAAGTGCAAAAGCCCATACAAGCCGCTGGAAGGTGGCTCTGTGGTGGAGCGCTAGCCTTGAGCTGAAGAGCTGAGGGACAGCGCCCAGGCCCAGAGTTCAGGCCCCACGACTGTAAGTAACAGAGCCCCTGCCTAGCAAGCTTTGGACCTCAAGGCCCTGATCTTAGAGAAGCCGGAGCGATGCCCAGGCAAGGGCCAGGCCTCAGGCCATCAGCTTGGCCAGGCCCTGCGGCCAGTGGGATCTCATCTTACTTGACCACGGGTCTCAGAGAAAGGGTGGCACTTATCCAGAGCCATTGTACCGGTGGGCAGAGGCAGGGGGTGGTGACCTACCAGTGCCGACACTGCCCTGAGCTCAGGCTTCCCCTGTGGCTAGGATTTGGGCACGCGTGAATCAACGCACAAGCCTCGTCTTCTGAGTGGGGGAAGGGTGGGCTCGGGAATGGGTAAGGCTAGGTCCCTTCAACTTAACACGTTTCCTAAGCAATGTTTGCTCCACACAGGTGTGTGCGAGTTAGAGCGACAGGTGGGTCTCTGCTCGCAGTCCTGAGCTAGAGGAAGTGTGGGTGCGGCCCTGGAAGGCGGGGCACAGGGGGGTCCAGAGGACGGGTCGGTGAGTACTGCTAGAGGCTGGGCTGTGGAAGCCCCTGAGGGGAGGTGCAGGGGTGAGTCGAGGGAGGGCACAGAGGCAGGGGGGAGGCAGCAAGGTCACCATGGCAGGAGCTGGGAGAGGAGGCAGGGAGTCCTGAGGGCTGCTAGCCATGTGCTGGGCCGTGGAGAGCACACCAGCAGGCCAGGCTGGAGCCCCGAGGCTGTCCGTTACCCAGTGTGAGCCGCGGGGTAGACACCGGACACTCCTTACCTTCTCCTTGTGCAGGGTGTTGTTTTCCAGCCCGTCCACCTGCAGGAGCTTCTTGGCCACCCCAACGCAGGGCAGCCCTGTGAGGACACCAAGGTGGCAGGCCACACCGAAGCCTGCCAGGAGGCAGAGGGGTCAGGAAGCAGTAAACCAAGGGGCCTGGAGGTGGGCGCAGGACACGGGCAAACCTGGAATCTCCTGTCTATAAACAGGAGGGAACTGAGGCACCAAACCCACCTTGAACGAGGTGCTCTGGCCTGACTGGGGAGAGGACTCCTTCCCTGGGCCCCCTAATTTGTATTCCCACAGCCGTGGAGGGCAGACCCAAGACCTGAGAGCAGCAGCAATTGAGGAAGGAGGCGGAAGACCCGCGTTGGACGCTGACTGGATAGGTAAAGCTGCTTGCTAACCTCAGCCATCTCACCTGGGCCCGGGTCACCGGACATCAGTGGGGCCAAACACCTGGTGGCTGTGCAGGCTGAGAGTGGGATATGGCTACACTGGCGTTGGGCCTGGGTGGCAGCGCCCAGAGCTGGGCGGCAGAGGGAGCTGTGGGGGTGAGGGGCAGGCAGAAAGGGTGGGATGGAGGGGAGCCTCCTTTGGGGTGGGGGACACCGAATGTCCTGACAGTCCACACACGTCCAGAAAGCACGTGTCAGTGGTAGTGATGTCATGCGGGGGCATGGGAGACGTAGCGCCCCAGTCTCTCCCACAGCACCCCTGGGTTGCCTGGGAGCAGGAGTTACCTCGGGGGTGCAGCAGCCCGTTCCCATCCACAAGAAGGACCTGCGGAGCCACAGGGGGTCCCGGTCAGATGAGCCTCTGCCCTGCACCTGCCCCGGGGCTCTGGGTGGCAAGGGGCCAGCAGGGCCTTCCCCCTCAGCCCCAGAAGCGAGAGGCCCTCTGGCACCTGCCTGGGGCATGAGGCCTGGCTCTGTCTCCCGCAGCTGCTGCACCAAATCCACCAGGAAAGGCACCTCGCGGAAGGCCAGGAAGCCGGAGATGTAGGGGGCGGTCAGGCTGATCATGCGGCTCTCCTCGTGGATCACCTGGCGCCAAAGCCCTGAGGTCAGCAGGCAGCCCCACGCACCCACTCCTCCACGGTCCTCCCTCCCCCAACCCCACCTCTAGCGACACCCTCCACACCTGGAGGAAGAAGAGGGTCGACTCACAGGTGCCTGGCGTGGACCCGGCGTGTGTGTGAGCTCACCCTCTCCCCAGCCAGGATGCGCCTGTCTGAGGGGCTCTCACCCACCAGGAGGGCTTGGTCTCTCTGGCTAGGTGACCAGCCTCAGCTCCACTTGCTCCTGGCCCCTCCTCATGAGCTGGATGCCCCTCTGGCCTCCCTGGTCTGCTGCCCGGGTGCTTCAGGCTCCAAATCAAAGCCCCAAAATGTGCCTGGGTAAGTGGGCCACAAATGGAGGGCACACTGTTCTTGTCAAAGGACCCTGGGGGAGGCTGTCAATGCAAGCCACAGAGGAAGAGGCGTGCAATCGTTCAGGAGAAGGAAGGCACGCCCCTGGAGATGGACAAGCTGAGAACGGCAGTGCTCAGGGCTGGGGCAGCTCAGAAGGACCAACTCAGGCTGCGAAGCAGCAGCGCGCAGAGGTGTGGACCGGGGACAGCCTTGCCGGGCCACTCGGAGGGCGCGGACCAGGGGGCTTTCCACACAGCCCTGGGACCATGGAGAGGTTTTAGAAGGCAGCCAGCCACGGTCCTCTGGGCTCCCCTGGCAACCTGCCACGGGTGGAGCATCACTAAGGGCCTGCCTAGAACAGGCGAGCGCCGTGTCTCCTGACCCCTGGTCTTCGTGGGTCTCCCTGGCTGGATGGGAAGTGATTCCCACAGCACACACAACTCTTTTTTATTCTACCCTCCAAATCTAGCTTCCCAGCCACAGCCCCCACTTCTCCTGGAGGCTGGTCCGGGCTGAAGAAGCCTGGGGCCTGTCCTCACGACATTCTTAGTCATCACTCCTAAAAAGGTCATCAAACTTTCTAATGACGCAAAGCGAGGAGAGCCCATGCCAATGGCAGCCGGGAGAATCTGACCTATAACAAGCTGATGACTGAAGTCCACACAAGGTAAGGCAGGGACACGTGTGCAGTGAAGTGTCAGGGTGACAGTGTCACAGGGTGACCGTGCCATAAACTTCACAAGCCAGAGAGAGATCAGCGAGGGAGGCCTCTCCCAGCTCACCCCTCCCTGCTGACATGCCTGTGTGTGCGCGCACTCGGGAGGAGAGCCGCCCAGGCAGTACAGTGGCTTGGCAAACATGGAGGCCCCCAGAGACAAAGGCCAAGCCAGAGTGACAGACATAGAAGCTGAAAGCAGAAAAGCCAATGAACAGACCAGAAGAAGAAAAAATGCAGAGCAGTTAAAGATTGAAGCTGGGTGCCAGTGGCTCACGCCTGTCATCCTAGCTACTTGGGAGGCTGCGATCTGAGGATCATGATTTGAAGTTTGAAGGCAGCCCAGGCAGGAAAGTCTGAGATTGTGAGATGCTTATCTCCAATTAACCTCGAGGTGGGGGGGGGGGAGATAAGCAAGCAAGAAAAAAAGAAAAGGATCGAGGAGGACCTAGATTTGTGCCTCAAGTGGTAGATCAGCCATAAGAGGAAAATAAACAGAGCAAGTTTGAGGGTGATGGTGAGTTCAAGTCCTAGTACAGACTCAAAAAAAGAAAAGATTGACGGGCATAGGATATAGCTTCGTGGTACAGTGCTTGCTTGACACGTGTAAGGCCTGGGTCTTATCCTTAACGTGGCATTTGTATGCATGCGTATGGGCACATGTGTATAGAAAAGCTGGGCACTGGTGGCTCACACCTGTAACCCTAGTGGAACTATGGTTAAGGCCAGCTGGGGCAGGAAAGTGTATGGAACCCTCTCTCAGCCTATAGCTGGGCAAGTGGCAAGCTCGGGGTCTCATCTGTTTAAGAAGGGTCCAGGGCCTGCTGTGGAAATGCTTTCCCAGCCTGGGATTCTGGAATCTGTAGACTTTAACAGCTTTATTGCTATTCCAAGTGTTTTTTATTTTTTGGTGTTTGCAACTAATTTCAGAACACTTTCCAAGATACACCTGGACTTAACCTCACCCCTCTCCCACAGCCCTAGGTAATCACCAACCCACTTTCTGTCCCTAGGGACCTGCAAGTGGACTCTGTATTCCTAAACACACTGCCAGGTGACCTAGGGGAAGGCATTTGGAGCCCAGAACCTTCCAGACCCTTTTCTCATCTAAGCTTACATCAAGGGACAAAGGCCAACCAAACGTTCAGGTTGCAGGTGTGGCGCAGGGTGAGGGGTTGCAAGAAGACAGTGGAGAGGTGCCAAGTTGGCACATGCACTCATCCAAGCCTAGGACACAGACGCGGGCGATAAGCCAGGGTATGGCGGGAGAGGGCAGTGTTGACTGCTTCCCTCACAAGGCTACCACATGGGTGAAGAGCTTCCTCCTCCCCACCTTAGAAAAGAAAGTGGGAGAGTGGCCAAAACTGGCGGAGCTAGAGTATGGACAGGAGTGGTCTCGTCTGGGGCCTACGGATGGGCAGTGGTTCCCCCCAGGTCCTAGCAGTGCCTGTGCTGGTAAAAAGGTCTGCCTGGCAGAGCTCCAGGCGCAGGAAGACGACGCTGGTGTTGGGTGTGGGCGGAGGAGCAACGCGGGAGGTGAGGCGGCAGGGTAGGGCCAGCTCTGAACCCCTGGCTGTCAACAATCGACGGGCTCACTGCTTAGTCAGGTACATTGGCTTGGGGAAGGATGTGTATCTTCTACAAGCCGGGGCAGAGGCACTGCTGGTGGGCAGGTTCTGGCTCCTGGCATTGTGGAGTTTATGTTCTGGAAAGGAAACAGGCCAATTCCATTCCAGTAAGATGAAGATGAGGATTAAGGCAGTTACGTGCTAAGACTGTAGCACACAGGTGATGAGATTAAAAGGCAGGCCTTGGGAGGTGATTCTAGCACGTGAGGACAGGGAAGGGTGGCAGTCTGCAACCAGGAACGGAGCTCTTTCCAGATCAGTCAACACAGCCCCGAGACACATTCCTGCCCTTTATAGAAACCACCCAATCTGGGGCATTTTGCTATAGTAGCCCAAACAGATGAAGACTCGTTGATGAGAGCAACTCTTCTTGGGGCTCACTGGAAATGTCTAAATTGGGCCCTGGGAGGAAGAGATGCCAGGCAGGTGAGGGCTATTTCAGGAGAAGAAACATGGCTGCAAAGACTGGAACTCAAAGCTGTCCAGTGGTGAGTGGAAAGGCTGAGGGTGCAGTGGGAAGTCTGACCTAGCAAGCGAAGGGAACCAACAAATCAGACTGATGCTACACTGGTGAGCGTGCCCTTTGTTTACTACAAGATCACAGAAAGGGCGATAAGGAGCTTACACCTGCTGTTTACAAAAACTGCTCTCCTAGCAGTGGGAACAAGCAACGCCTGAGACAGAGGGTCGTGGAAGATATGGCTCAGTCCCCTACAGGCTGACAGCAGCTCAGACAGAGGAAGACAGAGGCAGAGAAAACAGAGCTGACGTAGGAGGATGCGGCGGGGAGGGTCATGAGGGCACAGTTCTAGCATGGGCACTGGGGCGCAGGTGAACCAGGCAAGACGACAGTCAAGATCTGGAATCAATTTTCCCAATTCCCTTCCCCCTCCCTCCTTTTTCATCGACATTTCACAAAATTCTACAAAAGGGCTGGAGGTGCAGGTCAGTGGCAAGTCATTTGCCAAGCAAATTTGGGGTCCCAAGTTCAGCCCCCAGCACCAAAGAGAAAAATTCCAAAAGAAATGCCAGGCTCTACTCTGGCTTGGTCCCCTCTTGGAGGCTCTGCCCCTCTCCAGTGTGGCAAGTCCATGCTGGGTCGGGTTACCTCGAGCTCTGGGTAGCTGAGCACCACCAGGGAGGCACAGGCGCAGGCACTGTCCCCTTTCACAAAGGACACATCGACACCCCCGACCCTCTGCAGCCCCGAGAAGCTGGGGTCTTGTTGCCACGGCTCTGTGTCCCAGTCTACCACGTGGGCCTTCAGCCAGGTTTGCTCCCTAGGAGAAAAGACTTGTCAAAGCAGAGCAGGGATCAGGCTGAACTCTTGTTATAAATGTGCCCTCCAAAACCACTAGTCACAACTGAAGATGGGAAAACAAAAAAGTGTCCTCACAAAGCAAAAACCTACTTCTGCACTGAAGAGTAAAGCGCCAGCCAAAATTCAGGCAAGCCAGCACAGAGCAGGTGCCAGCTAGCGTCCTTTTATTCCCTAACACAGCAGGCCCTGCCCCTCTGCTCCAACTGGCCAAGCTCAGGTTCACAATCTGCTGATTGGCTAGTTTGAAGAGGCTAAGATGTATTTACATGTTGACACCTGCTGTTAATTTCCTAGAACAATCTGAGATGTCTTAATGAACCCTCGGCTACTTTCTAGAACAATCTGAGGTGTGTGTCTTACACTGCTTTCTAGAACAATCTTAATTCAGCTACTTTCTGGAACACTCTCACGGGTGTCTTAATTACACCCTCTTCTTCTTTCTTGAACTATCTGTGGCGTGTCTTAATTCCTCAGGACAAAACGCTCACACTTCAAAATTCTTATCCGAAAGCATCTCCTCTTTCCCTTTCTTTACTTGCCTGTCTTTGCAGAATCATCAATCTGGCTCAAGGCTGGCGCTCTACCACTTGCCCCACTCTACCATTTGAGCCACAGTGCTTGTGTATGTGGTGCTGAGGAATCGAACCCGGGGCCTCATGCAGTTGAGGCAGGCGCTCTACCACGGAGCCGCCTTCCCAGGAACGGTTAAGAAAATCTCGGGATTGACAGAGGGGAAGCGACCGCTGCTCACACTCCCGCCAATCCCCGAGAACGCAGACGGGGGACTCGGAGGCCCAGGGGCCCGGGAGACCGGAAGTGAGGGCCGCGCCGCAACTTCCGGAGGCGGAGCCCGGGCCCAGCCGGGAGCCTCCGCAGCCGGGGCTCCGAGGCTGAGGGGCCACGGGATGACCGCTGCGCGGCCTTCGACCCCATTACCGTTCCCACAGCGACAGGGTCTCCTCGGGAGGCCGTTCCGCGGCCTTCGAGTCCATGCTCGGTCTCCGACCGCTTCCGGCCGTCACTTCCGGCGCGCGGCGTCCTCTGCGCTGCGACGCCGGCGCCCCGGCTCGCTGGCTTCCGCCGCCGCCGCCGCCGCCGCCGGGGGACGCCTTCCGGCCTCGCGGGCCGCTCGCCCCGGGTCCCGCCGCCGTCGGTTCTGGGTGTGGGGACGGCCGGCCGGCCGGCCGAGCAGGCGGAAGCCCCGCGGGGACTCGGGGCCCGGGTCGGGAAGACGGGCGGACCCGTGGTGCCTGCGGGAGCTGGCCTCGAACCCGTGGCTGGGGAGGGCCTCCGAGGGACAGGGAACAGCGAGTGTGCGGGTCTTGGATAGGAAACGGTACTGAAGGGAGCCATGAGGCTGAGGGGTGGCGATTGCCTGGACAGGGCCCCGCGAGCTGGGGGAGCCCCGCTTCGTTGTCTTTTCTCTTTGGTCCGTCGTGGGGCCTGAACTCTGGGCCTGGGCGCTGCCCCTCAGCTCTTCAGCTCTACCACTTGAGCCACTTCCGGCCTTTTCTGCTTATGTGGTGCTGAGGAATCGAACCCAGGGCCTCAGGCATGCAAGGCAAGCGCTCTACCACTGAGCCACCTTCCCAGCCCCGAGTCCCCACTTGCTCAGTACCCAGTATATACCAATCCCTGGGCTGTTTGTTTCCCTTCTCTTTATTTTCACCATGAGGAAACTTGGGGCTTAGAAAGGGCACCTGGCTTGCCTGCTAAGCATGTCAGCCTGGTCCTGCCCCGCCCTGGGAGAGGATTGGTAACCGAGCTCTTCACAGCCAGAGTTCTCAGGAAGTGGCTGTTGTCTAGGGCGAGGTCATGGGCACTTTGGGTCCAGGTGGTGATGGGGAAGGAGAGCAGAGTAAGTTCACATGGGAAGGGCAGGGGGCCGCAGGCCAGTCCTGAGCCTGCCCTCCCCATGTCACGGTGTCATCATTACTGGCAGCTCTCAAAACACCTACCATGTTGAAAGGAAGCGGGCCGCTGTGCAGAATACCCGACAGAAAGGTCTGAAGGTGGATTCTGAACACTGCCACACAGGCTCAGTCCATGGGCCAAGGGGTCAGAAAAGTGCACAGTGCAGTTACCTTCACTCACTCAGATTTTGGCTCAAGGCCTCAATTTCTCCATTTACCCACGAGAGCTCTCCCAAGCCCCATTGGTTCTGAAGCTTCGTATCAGAGATGGTTCTTACTGGCACATTGGGGTATGTGGGTCTAACTAGAGTTGGATGACTTTACTTCACTGGCCCTTTGAGCTGACACTTCTTTTTTTTTTGGGGGGGGGTCCGGTTGTGGGGCCTGAACTCTGGGCCTGGGCACTGTCCCTCAGCTCTTCAGCTCAAGGCTAGCGCTCTACCACTTGAGCCACAGCGCCACTTCCTGCTGTTTTCTTATGTGGTGCTGAGGAATCGAACCCAGGGCCTCGAGCATGCAAGGCAAGTGCTCTACCACTGAGCCACCTTCCCAGCCCCAAGCTGATACTTCTTTACCATGACTTTACTATTAGAAGTTTCTCAGTTGGAACTGCTTGAACATACAAGGATGAAGAAAATAGCTCATGGGCTGCTAGAGCTGAGTCGTCTTCAATAAAACACATTTAGGCACAAGACCTGCTCTGGCTCAAGGCTGCAGCCTGTTTGCGGCTGGCTCCACCATGGACAAGCAGTTCTGTGCTCCTTTTGTCCAGGTAAAAAAGTTTATGTTCTCAGCAAAGGCATAAATTTTGTGTTCTGAATTCTGTATTTCATGGATACAAGGATCCTGTAAGAACATTTCCATAGAAAACAAACCATTCTCAAATGCAGGCCAGCTGGGTTCTTTGTGCTATATAAATGGAAGTACTGCCCACAGAAAAGATTCCTTTTCGGCAAAATTCAAGTTTATTAAATATGACAAGTACAATTATACTAGATATCAAAGTTAAGGCTTTGGAACAAAACATATAAAATGAGACATCATAAAAAAAATCATAACAATGGAAAAAATTCTCAGGCCCAAGGAAGAAAAACAAATTCTAAGGAGATTTGACACCCAATTCCCACCTGCTAAGGTGTAGTCCAGTGAGAAGCTAAGTGTGAGCTGCTACCTGGCAGGGCAAGCTGCAGCGCTGCCCAGAGGTAGCTAATGTCCATTCAGAAGGCAGAGGTGTGGGAGGGCGTGGTCTGGCATGGTCAAGGAGGACTGTCATGGATCACTAGATGTGAACATGTCACTTCTCCAGGCCCCCTCACTGCACGCCCACGAGAGACACAGTGGGTGTCAGCACGGATCACATTCCTGCCTGCCCTCACTCATGGGTGCTGTGTCCAGGGCCGGGATCCTGGCTACCAGTTGGTATTGTAGCTCAGGAGTAGATGGGCCTAAGAGTGGGTAAGTCCCTAACTCATTTCAAATTCATGTGAGGGCGTATGTGTCACCTCTAGCTACATTGGCTGTCCTGATCTCACTGAACAAGGGCTAGGCCGCCAGGCAGGGGAGTTTGTCCAGACACATCAAAGATATCAAATTAACTTGACAAGAGACAGTGGTTATGAGAAAAGGTGGGCTGTTTTCCCTCAGAAGTGTGAATGATTTTGTACTGAGTCTCATCTTTGGTTCTGATTCAAATAAAAGACCAGATAGTTATATACTTGGGATGTTGAGACATAACCAAGACTGTGTGTTTATTGGGCAAATGCTAGACAATCAGAAAGCTCCAAAGCATTGCCCAAAATGCACCTTTGATCCAAGTTTGTATCAATAAACTTTCCTTTAGAATCTGAAGACCTGAGAATTGGAAGGAGCTTTGGCTGCCAGTACACCCTGTACATTTTATCGAAGGGAAACTAAGACTCTGAAAATATCCCAGGCTCCTCCTAGTATCTGGCTCTGACCCTGAGGAGTTTGGCAGTGATTTCTTGTGGGCTGGCTCAGCTCTTGTTCATGAGGCTTTAAGGCGTGTTATAGACACCTGGCTCTCCTTGGGTTAGTGAGAAGGTGGAAGGCATGGGGCGCATTTTCAGTTTCTTGGTAACCAAGAAATATGGACAATACTCAGAAGTTAAAGAACTGAGAAGTAGACTTTGTATGTGTATGTGCGTGTGTGTGTGGCACATATGCTCAAATGGTAGAAGAGAAATGAGTAGCCTGTGCTTTCTTTTTCCTCCAAGTAGTGATGTGAGGAAGACGTTCCTAGTGGTCACGAGGTAGGATGCTGGCAGGCTTGAGACCTCTGCACCACGGCTTGGAATGCACAGGACGCAGCTGATTTCTTTTTTTTTTTTTTTTTTTTAGGTCCGGTCGTGGGGCCTGAACTCTGGGCCTGGACGCTGTCCCTCAGCTCTTCAGCTTAAGGCTAGCGCTCTACCACTTGAGCCACAGCGCCACTTCTGGCTTTTTTCTTTATGTGGTGCTGAGGAATCGAACCCAGGGCCTCAGGCATGCAAGGCAAGCGCTCTACCACTGAGCCACCTTCCCAGCCCCGCTGATTTCTATTGTTGGTCCTCCTCTCACCTCCTTCTGGACAGTACCCACTGAACAGTTTTAGAACATGCTTGGTGTCCGCTTGCATGCGCGTGCCGCCTGGACCACAGCTGCGCCTGCACGGCTCCGGGGCGCTCACAGTCACAGTCCTTGTGGGATCCAGGCAGATGGGAAGGGAGCGGGAGCCCTCCTACCGTCTCTGCCGCTCCCGTTTCCGGGTGGCGGCTGCTTTCCACACTGAGATGCAGCTGGACATCGGGATCTCTTCCGGGAACTGGGACTCCACTTCCGGAAGGGGTTCACTCTCTTTAAAAATCATGTAATTTACCAGAGTTTCCTTTATTCTGCCAAGAAAGAACAGGAGGTGGTGTTTATAATGCAGTGGGCCTCTTTCTGTCACTGATGCTAGCTTGGTACTAAGGGTCAGCTAAATGCTGGGCTCCTGACGTGGGCTGGATGCCACGCTCAAGGCCTGTTCTCAGTAGAACAAATTACTATGTATTTTGTAGTTAGAATTGTTGTTGTTGGTTGTGGGGCTTCAACTTGGGGAGGAAGGGCGTAGGGGTGGGTTGGGCGCTGTCCCTGAGCTCTTTTTGCTCAAGGCTAGCACCTTAACCACTTGAGCCCCAGCTCCACTTCTGGTTTTCTGGTGGTTAATTAGAAATGAGAGTCTCACAGACTTTCCTGCCTGGGTTGGCTTTGAACCATGATCCTCAGATCTCAGTCTCCTGAATAGCTGGGATTATGGGTGTGAGCCACTGGCCCCTGGCAGAATCTCTCTCTCTCTCTTTTTTTTTTGGTCAGTCATGGGGCTTGAACTCTGGGCCTGGGCCTGAGTGCTGTCCCTCAGCTCCTCAGCTCAAGGCGAGCACTCTACCACTTGAGCTACAGCGCCACTTCTGGTTTTCTGGTGGTTTATTGGAGATCAAAGTTTCATGGACTTTCCTGACCAGGCTGGCTTTGAACCTCGATCCCCAGATCTCAGCCTCCTGAGTAGCTAGGATGACAGGTGTGAGCCACTGGTGGCAGGTTCAGGATCTCTTTTTTTTTTAAATCTCAAGAGACTAAAACCAAAGTGGGCAGAGCTGGGGTGTGCTGGAGGGAGGGTTGGTGTCGCGCAGCACCCCGGCTCCAGGCCTGAGGCGCGGCCCGGTGAGCCCGCACCTCCAGTGGGGTTTGAAGCTGCTGTGGCTCCTGAGTCTTAGCACCATCATCTCGTGCAGCTCCAGGAGGAAGGCATCCAGGCCTGGGCGGTTCAGGAAGGCCTGGAGAAGCCTGGCGTCCTCGGGGCTGAGGTCTGCTTTGAACTGCTGACCGAGGTCCCGGAAGGGGTCCTGGAAGGGAGGACAGACAGGAATAACCGCGGGGGGAAGCGGGGTACAGCTCCCTCCATCCAGGGAAGGCAGAAGCCAGACTCACTTTCTTGAGGTGCAGGAGCTGTTCCGACTTATATGCCGAGAGGAACTGCCAGAGGGCGATGGTGTGTTGCAGCTGGCATTTGCTCAAGGAGGCCTGAGGGGAGCAGAGCGGGCAGGAGGTGAGGAGCC